AAAAAAAGGAACAACAGAGAGAGAGAGAGAGGTTCTCATTGACAAAAGAGAGGCAGCACGTTACCTGTGCACAGTATTCTTGGCATGTAAATATGCAAGCCCTGACAAAATTTGTTGAGTGTAACTGCGGATGGCTGATTCACCCAACTTTCCATATTCTTGTAGAAGCTTATGGATGGAACCACCAGATACATATTCCAAATAAATATATAATTTGTCGCCAACCTATTAACAAAAATGTAGTTCGGAACTGAATGTTTAACAAAAATGAACCACACACACGTTAAAGTGAACCGTATAGCTTTTCGGAAAAACATAATTTGGAAATAGTAAGTTCACAATATTACATCTCATTGAAATATTTTATGTGACGCTGTTCCTAGTGAACCAATAGTCAGACTTTCAAGCAAATCGTGGAAGAGGCCTATGGTCAACCAAATGTTGGAGATGGATATGTAGAAAATGTGCAACAAATGCTTCGCCAACATTGAAGTAAGCATTAAATGTATTAGATAAAAGAGTGCTGTAATTTGACTGACCGTTTCAGATCCATAGTACTGAACAATATTAGGATGCCTTAAGCGACTCAACAGTGCAATCTCCTGTAAGCAACAGAATTGCAGTGTAAGACTTATCTACTTAACAAATACTTGCACTTCCTGATAGCATTTGAAAGAACAGTATGACCTTATACATCTTTACAAAGGAAATGCCTCCCCACAAATCTAATGACTAAAGACTCACTTGTCCCAACTGCTTCGCACTTTCCTTGGACTTTACGTCATCAGAAAATAATGTAACCTCCTTCATTGCACACATTTCACCAGTTTCACTAAAACCAACAACAATTAAATCCCATTCATCAGGAACTACTTTACAAAATATACACAAAAAAAAAGAAAAAAAAAAAAGAAAAAGAAGAGGAAATCTATGATACTCATCCATTTAGACGGGAGGCCCCTTACCTATTAAAACCAACATAAACGTGTCCAAATGTGCCTCGACCAAGAAGCTTCCCCTTTTTCCAACGTGAGCCAGGGCTGGCAAGATTCTCAGCTCGTCCAGGACTTCGTGGCACAGAAGGTGAAGTCACAGCTGAACTCTGCTGATGAAAAGGCGAGGCGTTCGAAATGGTTATGGGAGGTAAGGGCAAACGGTGGCTTTGCTGTCTTGCATCCTCAGGCCAGTTGCTCTGTGATTCGGAATACCCTCCTCCAGTTCTAGAATGAAGTGGTGTTACAGAACCACTGTGGATTCTGGAGCTAGGTCCAGCACTCGTCATTCTTGGAGAGGGTATGGGAGAAATTTCTGGACTTCCTCGACTGGGCTGCCAGAATAATTGCCCGGACAGATCTCCTCCCATCGAATTGTGGCCAGACGTCTGACCTGCAGCCAGAAAATAATTTCCATTGGGATTAAAAAAAAAAATGAATATAGTAGTGATGTATGGTATGCATATTTACATTCAAATTATCAAATTTTTAAAATAATAGAGATATACATATATAGATATAGTTTTTTTTTACTGAGGTCAAACTTTCTCTATTGCATGAAAATTCTTTATAGGTATATTTAAGTGAGGCTATTTGTCCTCTAGCTGACCTGAGCCTGGACTGGAGCATTGACCAGAACCGAGGAAGGGAAAATCTGGATAGAGTTTGCCAGCAGTAAAAGCTGTGCTCGTAATCTGCTCATAACCAGAGACCCTCATTGGACTTCTAGAGGGACTCGACATTGAGCTATCGGGAGCACTCCACAAGGCCCCATGTTGCAGAATCTGTAAATTCGCCATTTGACCATTAAAAGGTCGTCTTCTAGGAGGAGAAGAGATAATCTTATTGGAGGAGAGGTTCACAGGAACTTGCGACTGCCTCGAGACTAAGGGCGCAACAGGCAAGTGATCCTTAGAAATACTGCAAGGATGAAATAGAACGAAACAGAGAGGTCTCATTTAATTGTTTAGAGGTCAAACATCATATATAACTAAAACCAAAACATAAAATTATGGCTTAATTACTGAAAAGAACCCCAAAGGTTGGTTTGAAGTTTATATACCTTTCCAAATTACAAAAAACTCGATTAACGTTTGCTTGCCTTCTGAAAATTACACATTTAAGGGAGCAACTTGGGTTCATCTGTAATTAGACTAAACCTCATGGACATTTATTTTTTCAAAGTGAAGAAAAAAAAAAGATATCTTTTTTTGTACTGCTACTTAATTTATTTATTTTCTACATGATGAGTAACTCGACTCACCTGGTGGGGCTACCAGCAGTCGTCCTACATCCGACATCATAGTCAGTCACCAGTGGACTACGTTGACGTGAATCAACCTGATCGTCACTCTCAATCGAACACTCACTAGAGATTGAGGCCACTGCCAAATCACCATCCAAGTCCCCAGGCTCCAGCCTCTGCCTTATGCATGCGGGCCTAGGAAGAGGAAGGAATAATGAAGCTTTGGAAACCCTTTCCTGTTTTGTCTTTACCGGTTCAGTTATTCCAGAAATCGTGCGGTTGACTTTGGGAAGTCCAAGGCTTGGCACAGGAAGTGGTTGGGACTGAGGCCTCTCTGCAAAACTCTGACATCGAGCCACATGTTTGGAAGATGGCGACGGGGACCTAGACTGGGCCCGTGACTGGGACCCTCTCTCGGAGACACTGTCACTCGAGCGTCTTCTAGAACCTCCCAACCTACAGGAGGATTTGCTGTCGGGGTTTTTGAACTTCTTGTGTAGGGTGTCAATGAAGCTTTCCTTGGTTGTTTTCTTTTTTGCTTCTTTTGATGATGACTTACCCCACCATGAAGGCATACTTTCCTGAAAATATGAGATTCTTTTCAGATGTCAACCCTTGAAACTGCTTAACTACAAACATAACCTGGGGTTGATTAACTTCATTCAATATATCCTTTGCAGAGCATTTTATCATGTCAATACACAGCTTCTATATTTTCAATTACAAGATGCAGACCATATAATCCTCAGTTAACAAAACAAAAGATTCGAATAACCAGAGCAGTCGTCACCTGAATAAAAACTAACAAAAAGATGAGATTATTCTTTGAATCTCTTCATTCTATCCATCATGACCGGCTGCACCAATTCGTTTCGTTTAAGAAATGGCAATATAATGTTACTAACACTAAATGTAGTCATTAATTTCCTTTCTTCTGCTCATCTATAGCAGCTGCTACTTCATCGGCTGGACAAAGTGATAGGAAAATTTCTTACTACCACATAAATCTATTTTCCCCTTCCCACTCAAAAAATATTACACACAGAAACCATCAATTATAAATTCCAGAATCTTAAACTTCCAAAAATTAGCAAATATATGAACTGTTATCATAATAATACTAAATGAGGAATCTTTTGCCCCAAATTCCCAAATACTAATACTCATAGAATTTCCGCAGTTTCTTATCTAAGCTTCAATCTTGATCAATCAAGTGAAAACACTTAATCTTCGAACAGCAACTACTCAGTACAGATCTAAACATACTCGGCAAAATTCTGCTGAAATAATTGCCCAAAGATAAGGAAAAAAACAATAAAAAAAATTAAAAAAAAAAAAAATCGAAGTAGTGAACTAAGCAGAGTTACTCGAAATCTTACCTCAACTCCTCAGCTTCTCGCACATCCCACGAGCAAAAAACAACTGCTTCTTCTTCACTTATTCAGCAGAATCTATTATATACTGTTGTTAGGCTTACGGTTTTGTTTGAGACAAAATCCGTCACGCCCAAATGCTTAGAAACTACGCCGTAATAATTCAAGTGCGTGTTACTGTGCGAATTCAGATTATGATAACAGTCGCAAGAGATCGCGTAGAGAGAGAGAGAGAATGGAGAATGGAGAATGGAGAGTGAGTGCACTGCGCAGAAATGGAGTTGCCTGAGTAAATAAATAATTTAATAATAGTAGCAATTATTGCAATTATTATTATTATTATTATTTTTCTCATTAAAGAAAAACGACACAGATTTAATAAAAAATTTTGGGTGGAATTAATTATATATGGATTTTATTTTATTAATTGCCACTTTATTGCGATTTTTATTTTTCTTTTTAAGGATAGCTTTTTTTTTTTTCGGGTACACTTTGTTTTCTTTTGAGGTATTCTTTATTTCTTTTAACACTACACAACGTACATTTTCACCGTAAACAATTGTCCATTTATTCTTTATCGGTTCGGTTTTGTTATGAAGTCATAAGATGATTCGGTTTATAGAGTCATTCATAGTTTTCTGTAATTGGTGTATTAACACGTGTTCTGCAATAAATACACATTGAACATGTGTCAATACATAAGGTTATAAATAATTCCATAAAAGAACAATTCGATAGCTACATAGCATTTCTGTATTTTTTATAGTGGTAATTGATAAAAATTCAAATAGTTACTAACAAATTAAAAAAAAAAAAGTTACTCGCAAATTTAGATAATTATTTTATTTAATATAATAATTTATGAAAGCTCATGTAAATTAAATCAGACCATGTATGCTAAAATCTTGCAATATATCACAATTTACCAAATTAATTTCCATTCAAAACAAATGTAAATATATTTTTCCTAACTCATAAAAATAAATTGAACAATAATTGTTGGAGGGACTGATATAAATAAATATTCTAAGTTTGCAGATGTTTAAGATTTGAAAGCAACATACATAATAGATCCGTTATACGATTAGAATTATAGTGGTAATATGCCCGGGGCTATATGGGGAAATCCATGGATCAGGATTCAGGTACACACCAAAATGGAAATGAGCATGCATTTATTAAATCCCAAAAAAAATTAAATAATTTGCAATAATCAAGAAAGGCTGGTTAGATAAGGTTTATATATGGCCTTTTCATTTTCTAGTCACTTTAAGAAATTAAAACTAATAAGTTAGAAAACGGTATTATATTTTACCCATAAACATTATAAATTATACTAGTGCGTACGTGCGATGCACGGGAAAAAAATATTACGATTGTATTATAAATTAAATATATAAATCACATTGATCATGATCTACCCATTGTTTTAAATTAAAGACACAGTCTGATCGGATGAACCTAGAACCGATTTATAATTTGCTTGAATAAAATATTTGCTATTGAATCCGTCAACACCAGTCAATTGGACTGACAGGATTGTTACGTTTTTCTAAATAAATTTTGCTATATTTAAAATTATTGTAAATAAAATTATATATTTACAAAAAATATAGATTTATAAAATATTTATCAATTAGTTTAAACATTTGAATTTATAAATTGTTTAAATATTTAAGTAACACAATTTTATTTAAATTTATTACAAAAAATCCTATATATGTATATTAAAATATTTATAAATTAAAATCTGAATAAACCACAAGTGATTTAATAAAATAATTTGATCGCTTCGATGACGGTCCGTGTAACGCCCCAGTTTTATTTGCCAAAAATCAATAATAAATTTTTTAAATTTATTTTCTAAATCACTTGGCGGCGCTGCTCATTTTTTAAAAACCATTCATCATCAATCATCAACGATATCATAAATTCAATCATAATTTCAACTCCCAAACGGGTTCATCTATAATGTCAACACCCAAACCGGGTTTCTCAAATTCATAATATCTAAGGAGCACCTCCTTATCAATAATCCAATCCTCAATATTCAATAATGCATAAATAAGTAAATCAGTTCAATAAGCGGAAGCAATATCAAATAATAAGTTGGTCATCAATGACCGACCACCACTCGCATCCCTCCGTTGTGCCCGCACTTACTAACCTGCATCCATGAAGAGCAGATGAGGGTGAGCACAAATAGAAATCGTAGTTCTCACCACTATGCAGTAAACATTAATCAATAATTATAAAGAACAGTAATCAGAAGACATAATAGGTATGGCCGCAGTATGAACACAAATCAATTATTATCCCATCTTCTATCCCAGAGTCAACCCTCATATGCACACCTATATCAATAGACTACTGCCGGCTATATATCGAATGGCCCTTGGCCTCACATCGAGTGCCTGGCCAGTAGGGGTAAAACAACCCCGATGGCCCTTGGCCTTACAACGGGGATCACCAGCCAAGGCTCACGCCCTGACTGTCATACATAAATAAAGGAGATTACCCATCGGGTTCGTTCTATAGCTACGGAGAAAACCGTTCGACGGCCGGTACAACTCACATCGAAGGCTACATGGTTCACATGCATACTTTGATCATACCATAAGAAATCATTAATAACATTTACGGCATAGAAAATTTTAAATAAAATTCACCTGGTATCCGGAGAAATAAGAAGTCACAGATATCGGGGGAAATAGTAGGCAGGGAACACAGCTAGTCAAACACCTACATTATATAAAGGCAAAATTGCATATTAATATATCACCTTTCATGTTTTTGCAATTTAATCACCACCTTTGTTATTTAGCAATTTAATACACCACTTTGACTATTTTTTGCTATTCGAATCACAAGGCCCAATTTCGGGCTTTTTGTGCTGACATGGCATTTTACGGCTGACATGGCATTGACATGGCATTCAGTGTATCAATGACATGGTGTTTTGCGCTGACATGACATTCTATAAAAAAAATATGTTGGTCATGAAATTCAAACCTGGGATGTAAGAGTTGCATGGTAACTCTTCCACCACCACACCAATCCAAGTTAGGTTATAAATTTGACAGCGTTTTATATATAGACATTACATATGAATAAATTAAATCAAATTTAAAAGATAATGTAAATTATTAAATTAAATTAATAAAATATAAAATTATAATAAAATAAATTATATAAAATTAAACGAAAATAAAATTAATTAAAATAAACAAGATAATTAAAATATATAACTTTTTTATTTCATATTTTATGTTAGAGTAAAACATATTAATAATATTTGATAAATAATATTTCATATTTCATTATATTCATTTAAATTTTTATTGATTATAGTTTAATGTTTCATAATAAGCTCTTATATTTATTATTTTATTTTATTTTATTTTACTTTACCTTTTTTTATACTTTATTATCTTATATTGTATTATTTTTAATATATTAATGGTGTACTTTAGTTTAGTTTGATTTTAATTTAAGTTTACATTATTATTTTTCACTTCAAAATTTATATAATTAATTATATTTAACAAATAATATATATAAATTTAATTTATTTTAGTTTAATCATTTTACTACAACACATTTTATCTTAATTTATTTATATTATTTTTTATAATTTAATTTATTATAATTTATTTTATTTTTTATAATTTAATTTATTATAATTTATATTTTATTATTTTAATTTAATATAATTTGCATTATCATTTTAATTTAATTTGATATATATAAATAGTTATTAGAATCACCAACTAAATTTGATTGGTGTGGTGGTTGTAGAGCTACAATTAGTGCTGCAAACGAACAGATCCGAACCGAGCTTGGACTCTTCGAGCTCGAGTTCGACTAATATTCGAACATGTTCGAATTCGTTCGTTTATTAGTCGAGCCTAAATTTTTGTTCGTTTTCGTTCGTTTAATTGTTCGTGAAATTCGTGTTCGTTCGTGCTCGGCTCGTTTAACTAATCGATTTTTTTTTTAACTTTTCGAACGTTCGATTAGCTCGACTTGTTTAAATAGTTCGATTATCAAAGGTTACTGCTATTATATATGAATAGTGACAATCAATACAAAACCAAAATACTGATTACCAAATGTAAAAGCGCAAATAAAAATAAGTTGAATTCCAGGAAATTACATTACTTAATAAACATCCAAATTCTTAAATCTTAATAAACATCCAGTATATAACATTCAAGAACAAAGTCCAATATAATAAAGCAACTTCTGATTTGATCAAACACCGTCGGCTCATCATCTCATTTCCCGGCATTTCTACAATCAAGATAAAAGACAAACCAAGACAATCAACATAAAATATGAATTGGAACAAAAAACAATCAATCCTGATTTGGCAAATTCAGCCACATAAAGAAATCCTTACAATATAAATTGGAACCAAAAACAATGTCCATAAAATGAAGGATGCAAATATAGCTCAAAATTTTTCTGAAAGTAAATATATTTTGACAGAGTTACAGAAGCAAAGAGATAAAAAACAAGTTACAGAAGCAAGTTAAATATACAGAAACAGAGTTGGAGAAGCACTTTTATCCATTCCGTTTTTTTCTTTGGAAATATACAGAAACAGAGTTACAGAAGCAAGAGATTGAGGGAAATTTAGGAAAATTGGCCAAATTTAACTTACAACTAAGGAGGAAGAAGCAGATCTCTGTCAAGTCACAACTTAGAGGCCTTGAGTTGAAGGCGAGCGTGGAGCAGATCGCCGGAAATCTACTTGAGGACGACGGGCCGACGGGGTTGGGTGGGTGTGGCGATGGCGATTTTGAGTTGAGAATCTGAGATCTAACTTTTATCTAGGGAGAGTAGGGTTTTTGATCTGAGAAATTGAAAGTGGGTGTAGAGAGAGTGGGTAACTTTAATTTATTTACTTATTATTATTATTATTATTATTATTATTATTATTATTATTATTATTATTATTATTATTATTATTATTATTATTATTATTATGATGTTCGCGAACGCTCATTTATGTTCGCGAACATGTTCGTGTTCGTTCGAATAAACGAATGTTAAACGAATGAGCCTTAAACGAACACGAACGAGCTCGAACGAGGTTTCGTTCGCGAACGTTCGATTCGTTTGCAGCACTAGCTACAATGCAACATCAATGTCTAAGGTTCGAATCTCTTCACCAACAATTTATTTATTTTTATTCCAATTAACATGCAGGACGCCCTGTCAGCAAAAAAAGTCATGTCATTGACACGTGGAATGCCACGTCAGCCGTAAAATGCCATGTCTGCACAAAAAGCCCGAAATTGAGCCATGTGATTCGAATTGCAAAAAATAGTTAAAGTGGTGTATTAAATTGCTAAATTACAAAGGTGGTGATTAAATTGCAAAAACATGAAATGTGGTGTATTAATATGCAATTTTGTCTTATATAAAATAGTCCTATAAATGACTATTCTACACACAACACTTATAACTACATTCATGCAATTCAACTCAGCTCACATAGTTCACATAAGCATGCATGCAAAGCGAACACTTCAATTCAGAACACATAACACGAGTTTTTCAAAACTTAACCCGGGCAGCGTTTTTAAAATTGACATAACTGACAGCACATAATTCATATAAGCATGCATTCTAATCTGACTTTTTCCTTCTCGTATACCGGGGAAAGTTGGTTTTCAAGTCTCAAATTAAACCTAAGGCATGCATCTACAACTTTCATGAAGACATCGAAAACAACTTAAGTCATCTACCAGGAGATTTTTCATCAAACATATAAAACTGAGTTGCAGATAACCATTTAAATTTAACAGCTGACAGGACCTCAGTATTTGCAAGATAAGTGAAGCTACAAAACTCCAAATGACTTGATTCAAAAACTAACAGATAGCTAACTCTATTATATACAACATTGCTGAAGATCACATTGACAAATAACAACATTATGAACGAGTTTAGACACAAAAACGCGGTTCATAAAATCTGTCATAAACAAGTTCATGATACAAACAGCACCTCGGTAAAATGACTCTAACTTATACTAAAGATTTCATATCAGCATGCGTCATACCTCATTAGAAAGCTAAAAAAAAGATCTATAACTTTCATGAAGGACACAACCTCATTTAAGCATATTAAAACATGATAATCAGGTCAGACATTAAATGAACACAAGTTGTCGGGTTTGTATAAAAACTGTTCGTGCGACAATTTTGCAAAAATCATAACTTATTCGTTTCAAATCGGAATTACAAAATTCCAAATCCCAGAAAAAGCCAACAGTACGAAATTCATTTTATATGAAGAACTCAACATCAGATAACAAGTTTCTGAGGGCTAAAATCGAGGTACAACAGAGCAGTAGATATCACCATAATTCATGACATATACAAATCGAAAGGAGCCCGATTTCAAACAAGGATTCGACATAACGTACGATATATATATATATATATATATATATATATATTTATATATATCTAACATGTGATATACGAGCGTGACCGGAATAATGAGAGGGTTCAAAATTGTTACCCGTCTTCGGGAATCTACGAGCTATCGGAAAGAAAAAGGGCCGGACAACGGGTCGAAGAGGGTTGCCGGCGGCTCGGAGGACGGGCTGCTCGCGGTGGTATGCACGGGGCACTGTACGACAATGCTGGTGATGCGAGGCAACGAAACAGGGCTCGCCGGTAATGGACTGATGCTCGACGATCAACGCGAAGGTGGTAGGGTTTAATTCTCGATCACGCGAGGGAAACGAGAGCTTGCGGGATTCTCTTCTCCAACATGGAGTGAGGTGGACGACCGGGGAGAAGGACTATTGTTGCAGCTCGGTTTTCTCCCAACCTGGTGCTGAAAAGAGGTCATCAGTTGCTCAGTACTTCGCCAACAAGGGATGATCAACGTGGAGCTGCTGCAAAATTAGAGTTTGCCGGAATCTGCTGGTTCACATCGACAACAATGGGGTCGCTGTGGGCTGCTTGCTACTGTTGTACTGTGAGGTGGTCTGAACGAAGCTGGGGATGAACGTCGAGGTGGATGGTTTGCGGGGCTTGTGTCGCTGATGGCCGCCGATCTGTTATGCGTGGCCGCGCGAGGTGGAGATTGGGGATGTAGCGCCCCAATTATTTCGGATTATTTATGGAATTATTATTATTTATTTTATTTGTCTAGATTTATTTTATTTGTACTCAATTATTATTTTTATTGCGATTATGTGCTCGTAAATGTTTAATTGTCTAATTGCTTAATTATGTAAATATTATCGTCTGTATTATATATATATATAATCGGTTTATATAAATTTATCGTTGCATTAAACCGAGTCTCGTATATTATTTAATTACCAAACCGATAGGAACCCCCGAGCTCGATTAGCGATTTAATTCCAACCCAAATACTATGCTAATGCATTGGCCCAATTCTTTTGATAATCCTAGACCCAAGTGGACTTTAATTTCAGCCCTTTGAGTTTTATTTGGCCCAATACCCTTGTAAATTATTTAGGCTTGGCGCAAGTACAAATCTTTCTATTTCTCCTTAAGCGCGCCTGTGTAATTTCGATCAGATATATTATCTTCTTCTGCGACCAAGTCCTCCCCTTATCTGTACATTTGAAATTTCATCTGCGACTTCCCAGCGCACGTTCTCCCCAACGTTCCCTCTTATCTCTCCAACTAAGCATGCATATAAGTCTCCCTCTCCTATCTCGTACAGAAAATAAATCACTCCTGTCTTTTGTTCTCTTGCTCCCGAGCTCGCGCGTAGCAGGAGAAGAGAGTTTCTCTCTCGTTTTTCTTTCTTTTTTTTTCTCCTTCCCGTCGCTAAATCCGATCACCATCACCATCATCAAGAAATTCCGATCATCACCTCACCGCTGCTAACCCACCATCGCAAGCCCTGTTTTCTAAAAAAAAAAGGGTCCGCCAGACCACCGGCGAGCTTTCACCCCTTCACGTGCTTCTGACAGCTGTTCGAAGAAAAACGACATCCGTTTTGCGTTCTCGAGCATCCCTCAATCCGCCTGAAGGAGTTCAGCAAGCCGTTCGTGAGCAATAGTCGTCCGTCGAGACCCGAAGCCGTTTATCCGACCCACTGTCCGCCCCATTTCTCGTTCGATAGCTCGTAGTTTCCCAAATTCGGGTAACTTATTCGAATTCTCTCGTTATTGTGGTCGTTCTCATATGTTGCATGATAGATATACATATCATTCGGACTACCGAATCCTTGTTTTTTTTTCCTATGCATATATGTTAAAGCTTGCTTTGTATTATTGTTAAGCCTTATTCATATGTCTATCATGCTGAGTATGTGAGAAATGTTGAGATTGATTGGCTTCAGTTCTATTCTTAGTATCAGGCGGTTAAGATTTTAAATAAGCATGCTTAAGGAATTGTAAGATTTAAGAAGAAAAGAGAAGCATTTTTGGTTGATATATTTCCATATAACTGAACCTTGTGTGATGGATTACTCCTTGGGGGTGGATTGATTCTTCTTTGGGGAGGGCTTGATTCTTCTTTGGGGAGGATGTGATCTAGTTTCCTGCATTACTCTCTAGGGGGTTTCTCAAATCTCCATTTATTTTAATTCGCAGGGTTTCGATATTTGGCAATTAGGGTTTCTGGGGAGGGGGGATTAGCTCGTGCTGCTAGGTATGGACCCAGCTAGCATGGGAGGGTTCCAGGAAGAGCTCAGTGATAAGTTGAAACAGATAGCACTTTCTCAATTAGAATTCGAGGTCCTGGAGCTTAAGGAAGAGGACATTCGTCTCAGTGCGGAAGAATGCAAGACGAGCCTCATTGGTAAAGTGATAGGGGAAAGGAAAGCACATCTTTCAGGAATTAAGAGGACCATGGGGATGATTTGGCAAATCCAAAATCCTATGGAGGTTAAGGAATTCAAAACCAATTATTTTCAATATATATTTGGTTCCTTACAAGACAAGAGGAAGGTGGCGGCTGGTATCCACTGGCTGTTTGAAAACCAGTATCTGATTTTGCGAGAGTGGAAGGATGGTCTCCATGAAAATCACCCATCATTTTCAGAAATCAAGATGTGGATTCAGGTAAATAATCTCCCTTTGAACTGGTTGTGTACGGATGTGGGGCGTAGAATTGGGCACATCTTTCTTCTTACGTTGAATGTGGTGGTTGTTAAGGCGGGGGGTAATAGAGGCAGTTATCTCAGAATGTTGGTAGATGCCTCTAAACCGCTTCCAAGAGTAGTGAACTTGAAATTGAAAGACCAACAAATCATAGCAGTCATTCAATATAAAAAATTGGTCAACTATTGCCATTATTGTGGACTAATAGGTCACCTTGAAAGATCTTGTGAGAAGAAGATGAATGATATGGAATCGAATTCAGTAAAAGAAGGACAATTTGGTGAGTGGATGAAAGCTCCAGAGGGATATTGGGGACCTAGGCCTAGTTCATCTCAGAGTTCTAATAATACTACTTCTTATAATTCTCCTAAGCCAAGCATCCAACAACAATCCCACATGGGAAAAAGCAGCAAAGCTTATAACTCCTCAGATAGTAAGAACCAGACTAATTCTGAGTATGAGGACAGCAACCAAGGAGGAGGGAATTTGAACAAGGATCAAATGAGGTGTGACCAGACTCAAACAACATCCCTGGAGTTGGTGGTAGCACAATTCCCCTCAGAAGCTGAAACTACCATTAATAACATGGAGATGGAGAACAGAAGCAATATGGGGTTGGCCAGTATTCCTGAAGAAGGTTATCCCCAAATGCTTAACTTTGAAACTGGACAAATGGATACTCAGAATATCCAGAGATCTCCCAATCAGTTGAAGAAGAAGGGCTGGACCAGGCAGATGGGACAAGTTGGCAGATTAAAAAGGGGAATCTCTAGCTCTGCAGATGTCAAAGAGGAGGGGAAGCTTAAAAGGAAGATTTCTACTGCCAAGAGTAGTATCATTATTGATGCTGAAGATGAGAATGTGACTATTTCTACCCATAAATCCAAAAAACAGAAAAATCTGAATGATAAGGTGGAGGAAGCCAGCCTAAATTGGCCCCAAGTTTCCAAATGAAGCTGCTGGTGTGGAACTGTAGAGGTCTGGGTGGACCCTTTACAGTATCCCAGATAAAGGATTCTTCTAGAATCCACCACCCCAGTTTTTTCTTTCTTTCTGAAACAAAAAAAAAAAGAAAGACTTTGTCCAAACTGTGTGCAATAAAATTGGTTTTAAAAACAGGTGGTTTGCTGTTGATCCTCAAGGCTTAAGTGGGGGTTTACTGTTTATGGAGTAAGGAGATGCAGATTGTGCAAATAAAAGGGAATCACTTTTGTGTGGAAGTTGAAGTCAAAGGCAAAGTTGAAGGTCAGACATTTTGGGTTATCTTCATATACTTGAGCAGTGATAGAAGAGTGAGGGAGGATCAGTGGGCCTTTCTGGAGAATGCTAAGGATGGTTAGGGAGATTACTGGCTTCTAGGGGGAGATTGGAATGATGTTTGTGAAGTTAGTGAGAAGAAATGAGGTAGAAAGAAGACTGAGAATGATCTCAAAGGATTTAAGCAGTTCATTTCTTCTATGGCAATGCTTGAAGTCCAAATGTGTGGCCATCAGTTCACATGGGGTAATAACAGGGAAGGGGAAGGGTTTATTGAGGAGAAGATTGACCGAATTTTTAGTTCATATGCATGGTTAGCTGACAATCTTGATGCTGTGGTTAATACTGCTTACTTGAGTGCTTCAGATCACAGGATTCTTATTCTCTCTTCTCAATCAAATCTTGATGTTGATAAACCTAAAAGAAGGTTTTTCTTTGATAAGCACTGGCTGAAGATGAATGGGGTAAAGGAGACAGTGGATAGAGCTTGGAACACTAATACAACTGGCACTCCCATGTACCAGGTATCAGAGAAGATTAAGGCAACTAGAATAGCTTTACTCAGGTGGAGCAGTTTTTTTCACAAGGAGAGAGTTAAAGACAAGACTGAAATTGCTGATAAGCTGGAGATTTTGAGCAAACAGGGTACAGAGAGAAACTGGGAGGAATGGGGTATTTTGAACAAAGAGATGAATAGAATTGTGAAGCTGGAAGAAGAACACTGGAAGCAGAAAGCTAGAAATTCTTGGCTCAAACTGGGAGACTCAAATTCCAAATACTTTCATGCCTTAGTGATGCAAAGAAGGTCAGGCAATGCCATAACTAGACTTGTGAATGATAGAGGGGAAATCTGTGAGTCTCCTGGGGCTATTGAGCAGTGTATTTGCAAATTTTATGAGGATATTTTCTCTTCTGAGGGCTCTGAGGCTGATGATGACCTGATTCAACTTATTCCAACCACAATCTCTGAGGATATGAATTGCAATCTTGTAGCACCCTTCTCAGAAGAAGACATCAGAGAAGCTCTTTTTAGCTTGAATCCAGACAAAGCCCCTGGTCAAGATGGGATGTCGCCTATTTTCTTTCAAACCTTCTGGGAAGTTGTCAAAGGGGATGTGTGTAAGGCTGTGACTAGCTTTTTTGAGTCTGGTATGATGTTAAAGAATTGGAATCATACCTTGATCACTTTGATTCCAAAATGTGCCAACCCAACTTCTCTTTCTCAGTTCAGGCCTATTAGTCTATGCAGTATATCTTATAAAATTATTGCTAAACTGCTCACTGATAGATTGAAACCTTGCTTAGATTCTTGCATCAGTATTAACCAAGCAGCATTTATCCCCGGAAGGCAGTTGATGGACAATATGGTGATAGCTCAAGAGGCCATCCACTATTTGAATAGACATAACTATGGAGCAAAGAGTCTTATGGTTGTCAAGTTGGACATGGAAAAAGCCTACGACAGAGTGGAGTGGAAAAGTATCAGACTGATTATGGCAAAAATGGGATTCAATGCCCTCTTCATTAAGTGGATTATTGCTTGTGTGTCCTCTGCTGCTTATTCCTTCAACATTAATGGCAGCATGAAAGGGTTTGTGACAGCCACTAGAGGCATCAGACAAGGTGATCCACTATCACCATACTTGTTCCTTCTTGTCTCTGAAATGTTCTCATTACTTCTGAAACATGAAATGGATATTGGCAATTTCTCTGGTCTAAAGATAGCTAGATCAGGGCCAACAATTTCTCACTTATTATTTGCTGATGATGCCCTGGTCTGCTGCAATGCTGATTGTCTTCATGCTGAACTTCTCTTATCAGTGATGGGAACTTATAGAAAATTTACTGGTCAGAAAGTGAATCTTTCAAAGTCCTCTATCTTTTTTAGCAGAAATGCTCCTGACCTACTCAAGAGCAATGTTTGCCACATTCTGCAAGGAATTCAGATCTAAAATTCTACTAGATATCTAGGGTTGCCCTTGGGGATTGGTAGGTCCAAGATTGAGGTTTTTGACTATGTGATTAAAGTTGTGGAAGCTAGACTTATTAATTGGAAAAACAATTTTCTCTCAACAGCTGGAAAAGAGGTCTTATTGAAACCTGTGATTGAAGCTATGCCTACATTTTCTATGTCCTGCTTCATTTTGCCTCAGGGGATTTGTAAGAAAATTATCAGCATGAGTGCTCAGTTTTGGTGGAGCACAGGACAGAACCAGAAAAAGGGACTCCACTGGAAAGCATGGAATCAAGTTTCTATACCAAAAGCTGCTGGTGGACTGGGTTTCAAAGATTTAACTGGTTTCAATGAAGCTTTGATATTAAAGCAGATTTGGAGAGTCCTCTCCCACCCTAACTTACTTGTGAGTCAAATTCTAAAAGCCAGATACTTTGCCAACTCTGATTTGTTGAAAGTGAAGAAGCCTAACTCAGCTTCATGGTTGTGGTCCAATTGGCTATCTGTGAGAGATAAATACAGAGATTGTTTCAGAATTGAAGTTAAAAATGGGCACAATACAAAAATTTGGGATGATCCCTGGATCCCATCCATCAAATATGGGTCTCCTTCTCTCCAATCAGGTCAAGATGGTCAGTTGGTGTGGGTCAATGAGCTAATGGAACCTGGTGGCAGGAGATGGAATTCTGAGTTATTGGGGAAAGTGTTCTCTCAGCAAGACAAAGAAGCCATACTTAAGATTAAAAATCTGGATCCTCTTCAGAGTGACAAGTGGATGTGGACTCCTAATGCTAAGGGTAAGTTTTCTGTGGCTGGTACTTATTCTCACATTATCAATCTTAAAGTTCTCAATTTGGGGACTCCTGAGAGTAGCCACTCTCATTGCCTGAATAAAAAGGTTAGAACAAGATGATGGGCTTTGAAAATCAAGAACAAGCCTAAGCATTTTCTCTGGAAATGCTATAGCAAAATTCTTCCTGTTAGTATTCATCTTAAAGAAAGAGGCATGGATATTGACCCAATGTGTAGCTGCTGTGGTGAGGAGATTGAACCAACAGAACACATTTTCTTTGACTGCATCAGAGCACAGAGAGTATGGAAAATGGCCCCAATTCACTGGGATGGCCTCACTGAAGATGCTAAGTGTTTCAGAAGATGGTGGTGGGTGATCCGCACCTTGGATAAGTCTCAGATTTCTCAAGACAGAATTCAACTAACCACATACATTTTATGGTGGTTATGGAAATCAAGGAATCTTTGGAAGTTTCAAAACAATTGGGTTCCTGAAAAGGAGGTGGTGAAATTGGCAGTGAATGATTGGAGAGAATTATTTGCTGTTCAGGCCTTGTAGATTTTTGCTTTCCAAGCTGGCTGATGGCTAGGTCCTTTGCAGGTTCAGTGGTGATTTGCCCTTGGTTAGTCTTTTTCTTTTTTCTCTGGTTCTGGTTGTTGTTGGTTGGTTAGGTCTTTGCAGTTCAGCTGAAGGTTCCAACTTTCTTATAGCTGCCTTTGGACTGAGGGTGTGCTGTTGGTTGCTTTGTTGAGTTTCTCCTTGTGTCTTTTCTTTGTTCTT